CTCGCTGGCTCGACTATAAAAGAAATCAGCAAGTACAAGCAAAAACAGAAATGTTTGAAAAATATTGTACGGTACATAGAAATATATACATATATTAAAAAAAATGCAACGTAAGTGCTCAATACAATAAAGGCACATTGGGGTAATTCAATCCCTGAGTATGACAAGTATTTCCTTGTCACGACATTGTACTTTCTATAATGACATGACTTATGAGGTTACAAGCGCTCGCACCAGGTCGACCCAAGACTTGTAGCATGGCAGTACGTCTACCAAAAGCACTACGATGTACAATCGCTAATTGTATACTGGTATATACGCCTAAGTTTATATGAAACTTGAGGCCGTTCAGCATGTGTTATTAGGACTATATCAATTATAGGTGTTGATCGACGCATGCATACGTGGATCTTTAGGGGACAAGGCTCTCTGCCGCATACCTAATAATGGCGAGCTCACTGTAAATGGGTACATTAAGTGAGATTGACAATCAATAAACTTATAAAACACTACTTAACTTGATTACAAATGAACATGAAAAGTTTAACATTCCAGAAGAAAAAGATGTACTCTACGAATGAACAAAGGTATAAATGCATTGGCATAACAGAAAAGAAAAAAAAAAAAAAAGATATCCCATCGTGATGGAGCGTAGACTACAGATCCATCTTTACTCTGGGTTTATTCCCTCTTTGAGTAATGCGGACGGATCTGCGTGGCGTAATTGGCGGAGGTGATTCTGCCACTGTTCTAGGTTGACTACTCGTCAGTGCCACTTTCGGTTTTGTCCTGATTATTATCACGGGGTCCTCCTCGTCACTGTCACTGGACTCGATTTGCGATGCTAAGTGATCTGCGTGGTATAACTGGTGGAGGTACTATTGGTGGAGGTACTACTAGTGGAGGCACGACTTGCGTTGTGGTCACTGTTTACCTCGTGCGTGTGATAAATGTTGGGGAGCAGTAATGACAGGTACAAATGTGTCATGCCGGTGTAGTGAAACCTGTCTTGATGGGATAGCATCTAAATTGGACACGCCTGATTTTGAATCTGAACTTAATGTCCTTGTTTGTGAGGATGAGCTAATATCGTTCAGTTGCCCTGTACTCATTGTACTGGAAGTTGGTGGTGGCGAAACCACGGTAGGGATTGAATCCTCTGTGGTGTGATGGGCTTCTTCCATTGGATCACTTTCATTTTTTAATAAAATTTCAGATTTCTCAAAAACATTCAGAAGTTCTCCCTTAGAATTAAAAACGTGTGTCTTTGTTTTTAGTGTTACTGTGTGGGTCATGATAACGGTTCTTCTCTCAACATCTGGGCAAACTGCCGGTTGTTTTGGTGCAACACTAACAGAACCATCCTGTAAAACAGTGTCAGAAAAATTAACTGTTGATCTCTTCCTTATATTTCGACGGTCAATATGACCAGCTGCATTAGTCACACTTTCGGGTTGAAGTTTAAGAATCTTATTAGCGTCTGAGTTTGTGGATCGCACATTCTCAGATTTAGTTCCAACAACAGTAGGGCTAGACTGACCAGGTTCTCTTACATATGTTGACGCATGCTGACCAGCAGTCGGCTGGTCGTGAGCAGCATCATGACCAAATGGCATCTTGGATTTCCTTTTTGACCGTCGCCTCTTGGGGTGTTGTGTTTGTCCATTTCTTTGAGAAATGTAATTTTTCTTGGCACAGCATACCTGCTCTGTGTGTCCTCTACGACTACACCAACGACATAACACATCCGTGCGTGTAGGTTGTCGCTTGCGCTTATGTCGTCGCTGCTGTGTAGGTGCTGGTGTGGACTCGGTAAACCGGACGTCGGTGTCCCTTTCAGGCCTATACGATGGAGGGTGATACCTTTCTGCCCATGCTGCTACCTGATGGTCGATACGAGCCATAAGTTGTGTTGTCAGCTGGGTCAGGTAAGGTGACGGTGATGCTGAGAGCTGGGTGGTGGCGACATCAGAAATGTACTCACGCATCCACCGTTGTGCTTCCCTACGGACGTCATCAAATGAGCGGCTAGTGTGTAGCCTTGCGTAGGCCTTGACATCTCTGCGTAGGGCGGGTGGTTGGAGACCTTGGATGAATACGTCACGCAGTATGTCTTCTGGGAGAATGCCAGGTCGTGCAGAATTAGCTAACATGAA